GGGTGTGTCTGTTTTCTACTCTCCTACGTACCTTAACCAGTTCCATTGTGTAACCTGACCAAACCACACCCATGTGTGAACAATGCTGCTGCTCCTGTGCTGCATTATTTTTATGTGACATCTGTGCTGAACTGTTCTCCTTGCATGGACTGACTAAACCAAACCAACTGCTGGAGAATGAGTGACAGGCTTCCTGCATTTCACGTGTATCTCCAGCCACATTGTCGTGGGTTGTGACCCAGTTGTGAACTCAATGGGGCACCTACATGAAAAAGGAAATGGTGAAGATGAATCAGGGGCTGGTACTTTTTGTGCTGAATCCGAACTCTATTCGATGCCCTATATGCTTCAGCAAGATCTCAAGTGATGCTATCTAAATACCTAAGAATTTATGACTGAAAAATTATAGTGCCAGCTTTTCATTCTCATGCAGACATATGACAAATGCAAATGTCCTATGTTTGCCTTGATATATTTAATAGTGCTCAGTTGATTTTAAATTCCAATCTCCTATTTAATAAAATAAAAGCCATGACTATAGCTTTGTAAAATTATGATTTATAGGCATGCTTAATGAAAAGCCCTTCTAAATAAAGGTAAAATAATCTTTTAATTGAAACACATGCTCTTCTAGGGCTTTGCAGCCTTCTTTTAAATCTTAGTAGTAGTAAATTTTGCTTCTCTATAAACTGCTTTTAACAATCTGGCTCTACAGATCACACCTACCAGATGTAATTCTTATTTTTCCCACTGCTCAGTGGGAAATGCTCTGACATGGATGCATGAAGGTACATGGCAGAATCCTGTTAGTACTGTCATTACCTGATTGGCCTCAATGGACTTACTCTGTGTTCATGCCCAGATACAGCTTTTCTTGAATAAACCATTCTATTTTGTCCTTTCTGACTGTTCCAGGGGAAATTACTGTGYACATGGCATTGTATTATTTATTGASCTATCTAGCATTTTTTTACTTTGTTGACATATAGTTAAAAAGTACTTCGAGAACTCAACAGAAAGATGGACTTTAAGTAGAAAGTTGGATAACAACGAAAAGCAGAAGATATKAAAAGAAACATTTTCTGCAATTACAATGTGTGACTACATTATCAGTAAAGATCGGATCAAGGTGTTATTGCAGGTAACTCCAGGAATCTATTTTTTTATTCAATTCAACCATAACTGAAATAATTACAAAAAATACATACTGAAGCTTTTGCACAAGTAAAATGTGTATTCTGCATTTCAAACTCCTGGTGTGGGAATTCCTAATTATAGATTGGTGTGTGTGAGACCAGCAGGAAAGRCTCTGAGTTTTTGCAGTAATCTTGTATTAGCCATGTTCTGAGGGTGTTAAGTGAGAGCAAACAGTTACATCAATAGGTCTGAGAAGTGAWATGATGCTTGTAGTTAAACCAAGCTGGACATTCAGGTATTTGTATAATGTAAATTCAAAAGGGTAACAAATTGCATTTGCAAATGCAGCAAAGATCTATTTGCCAGTGAAAGACAAAATAGTGCTCAAGAACTGCACAATGTTATMGATTTGTTTGTATATTGCACATAAGAGCACCTATRGCACCTGAYTTTATGGGCTCAGTTTCTGAWATGTGTCAGGCTGTTTTGTAACCAYTAGCAGGCTAAAATGTTCACATGAGCTGTAATACCCAAGAAAAAGAACCTGACAGGTACATGGTTACTGAGCTAAGTGTGTCTCACAAGGGTGAGAGCTGGCAGAAAAAAGAAASAGCTTTGAGGAAACACAGTTAATCAAGCCTCCAGTTCTTATTAAGTCTGGTTCTGAAATCTTTTACATGCATCTGTCCATTTGATAATCTCTGCTATAAATGGGTTTCATGCCTTAGGGATGATAAAGGCAGAATAGATCTTAATCCCCCTRGAAAGTGAAGGCTATTAGAAGTTAATTATAACACCTCATTTTTGTAGCAATACAAATGGGATTTTATAACCTTAATGACCACGGGTGTGAGTTCTTGTACAATTTGTAACTGCAATTATTCCCAAATCTCATAGGATTAATATTCCAGTTGATCATGTGTTACAGGAACTTTGCTTTTTTCTTCTGGATTATATCAGCAATTAGTCTGAAGATGGACAGGAGATTCTGATGAAAAAAACCTCAGCGTTTTACCATGTCCACATTCAAGCAATTTATGCTTGAAGTTATGGTAAAACCAGGCTGCCCACTCCTGCTATTCTAGGAGGGCAGACCTTCTTCCTACTCCATGTATTGTATGCTCTGTGTCCATCTTGTGATCAAGGACTTTTCATAGAAAGGCCTGTTGATTCTGTGACATCCCATTTCACTTTTCCCACAGCATAATGGGCCTCCTGGGGAAAAAAAATATTTCAGTAATGCTGGTGATGGGAAACAAGGTAGTTACAAAAAAAGTGAAGAAGGTGCCTACACTTTATTTTTCTTGCCATTTCTATATAATTATATTAGCTATTTCACAATAACTGTTGCTTCAGATATTCATACTGTAGTGTTATCTCGTAATTACCTGCTGGGCCTTTGGACCATTGTAGTCACAAAGTGCTGGCAGGTTTTGAACTGAAAGCTCGGCATCCTGGTCAGATCATGTTCTGCCACCACACTGTATATTGTCTATGAGCAGTCTATATGATTAGGTATACCTTTTGGGCAGTCTGTCCAGCTGTAAAAATCTGTAGAATACTGTTTTTTAATCAAGCTAATTCCCAAGTAGAGACTTACTTTCTATTCCATCTTTTTCAGTAAACTAGTGCCACATCCCAAGCCCCATATGAAATGCTCACAACAGTGTACAATGACTCTTGCAGGCAAAAGGAGCTGTAAACTGTGGCAAATCTACTTCAGATTATCTGAACCAAGAAGGTAAGATCCACCTCCCTGAGGTCTCAGGGAGTGAAAGAGGCAGACTGTGGAGAAAGAGGGGTGTCTGTGTTAAACCTCCATAGGGGGTGAGGGAGAATGGCAATTGTGGAATAATGAGCTGCAGCCGTGAGTACATGCAGAGTGTGCCCMAGACAAGCAACAGCTGGGCACGGGAGTGGCTTTTCAGAGCAAAGGAGACCTGTTGCTTGTTAGAAGGCTATCATCTCTAATACTCTTGGTGGGGAGTCAGTCATGCCCAGGAGTACAAGGGAGTGGTCAGAGGTCTTTTGACTGGGGAGCTATCAAGATGACAAACCTGCAGGTAAATGGGTCCAGCTGCTATTTTCCAGGAAATGGGGAGGGAGCTGCTAAGATAGACATAAGTGAGAAAGCCATATTTTTATTGTCTGTGTATTAGCCATGGACAAGCAATGCACTTACAAGATTTCCATCAAAATTGTCAATATTCTCAAAGTTGATGCAGACATTGCAAATTTTCCCATATAGATTTGATTATTGTGCCTTACTCTCTCATGCCGATGGTTATTGTGGCATACTCTTCTTATATAGGAAAGAAGGTCTTTTTCCATAGTGTAGTACAAGTTTGACCAGGAACAAAGGCCAAAGGACATCCCAGAGTGTAGACAACATACTTGTGAAGGAACTTATTCCTATTGATGATGATACACTATTATTCACGTGCAAATCCACAAAAGCAGCATTACAACCAAGATTTAAGACAGGGGGTGATTCACATGGAATTGCAATTGTTTGTACCAACAAGACACCTTGCCACAAAAAGAATCGTGTAACCAAGCCAATCTTGTCTTGAGACAAATCCAAATGCAAGTGGATGTTTTAATTCATTTGCCTTGGGCTGTATTAACTTCCTGGGATGAAAACAGAATAGTACCTGGGAAAACAACAGCCAAAAAAAACCAAAAAAAACTGAATACTAAATGCAGACCTTCATTCCTTCGTCTGGACTGGGCAATGATTTTTTTCTTCCTCTTCTCCTCAGATCCTTGTCATGTTAATAGCTCAATATCCTCCCTTGGAGACATAAAGCTGAGAGGTGAAGTGAACAGAGGAACTGTACACAGAGAGAGTGAGGCACCCATAGCTCAATGCAGTTTCCATTTTTCCAAGGCACATTTCCTCTCTTGTACACTCTGGTCATTAACATCATAACCGGTAAGGACATGGCATAGCCATAACTCTGTTTTCTTGTCATCTTAATTTACATGGGAACAGAAGATAAATTATTTTAAAAATGCAGTTAAGGTATTTGTTTTGCCATTACTTTCAAACAAAAGCATCTCCTTTGGTTATAACTTCCTTGATTACTGGGGAATGTGGTGCTTGTGACAGATGCTCAAGGCTACAGACAAAGATGTTGTGTGCCTAGGCCGTGTAGGGTTATGACGTTCCCTCAGCTCTCATCAGATCCGGAAGAGCTGAGCATCTGAAATGCTGAAGTCCACAGGTGCAAKCTGGCTCGGGGCCAGCCGGCTCGGGCAGACCACACTCACCTTGTTGGACCTTTGGCACTGAGRCCGGTGCTGTCCTTCATACACCAGCTTTGTGCCTGTCAGCCCCAGGCTGGCTGGGATCTGGGTGTTTTCTGACSAGTCTGGTACTTGTTCCTGGAGTACGGATAACAACTGACGGACCTGGGTGGCTCACGAATTGCTGTGGCAAGAAGGGGAGGACAGTGTCCAGCTTTCACATAGCACTCTGKCTGCAGTGCTCAGAGGTGGGTGCCGGAGAACGGGACTGAGCGGCTGCCAGTGGCTCCTGCGAGCCCTGACCTCCGTTTTGCGCTGCCGGGAGGCGGCTGTGTGAACAGACGGACCTGTGTGGGTCTCCCCTCGAAGCCCGACACCCCATATTCTCGKGAGCAGAGGGAATGGCACCCTGCCCTGGCACCTCAGCGTCCCACGGCGACTTTGCCCAGCGTCACCGGCGCGATGAAGCCGGGCACTGGAGTGGCCCAAGAGCCGGCGCGGGGCCGCGAGTTCCGCGGGGCGGAGGGGGAAGCGGAGCCCCGGCAGCCCCGGCCCGCCCCCGCCCGGCCCCTGCGGCCGCCCGCGGCCAAGTGCGCGGGGGAGGAGCGGCGGCGCCGGCCCGGGAGCCGCAGAGAGCGCCGGCCCGGCGGCCCGCGGGGATGCTGCGCTACAGCTCGGGGCTCACGGTCACCGCCACCACCCCCCGGAGGCCGCCCGGCGACGGCGGCCGCTCCCGGCGGAAGGTGCGCGGGGCAGCGCGGGGGGGCGGCGGGAGGTCCCGCGGGCGGGGTCGCGGGGCGAAGCGGAGGTTTGACATCCCGTCTCGTGTAGTTACCGCGGAGCGCCTTTTTCTTTTTCTCTTTTTTTCCACCCTCTTTCCTTAYTTTCGTGTTTTCAGGTGCAGCTTGCGGTTTGCGAGAGCATCTTTTTGTGCGTTCGTTGTAGATGTGGGGAAAGGAAGAGTTTTTGGGGAGTCCTGCAAGGCTTTTGTAGTGCTAGATCCTGGCTGTTCTGTAAACCTCCGAGGAAGGTGTACTTGTGTTGGAGACTTCCCCGCATTCTTGAAATGCGCCTGGATATTTACAATTTAGAACTMGCCTATCCTATAGAACTTGCCTATCGTGAGAAAGCTCACCGTAATGATTTAGATGGCAATAGTGGTTTAATTGTACAATCAGCTCCTTAAATGCAGATACATAATTTAGTAGGTTTTTTATTTTCAYAGGTGCTGTAAATAGTAACCATTTATTAATCAGCTGGGAAGTGCTTCTAAAAAGTTATTAAAAACTCAGGCAGATACGACAGGAATGTCTCTACAACCACCCAACTTTAAATAGCCCTTTTCTTGCCCCTGTAAATACATTGTTATCATTGTGAATGCTGATTCTACATGAGCATTCACAAGAAAGGAATCAAAATAAGTGGTAATCTTATCCTTACCAGAAATACATCCATATAATCATGATGTTTCTTGAATTATGCAGTTATTGTTTTGATGCTTCAAAAATATGAGTTCATAATTGAAAAAATGAACAGTGTTGTGCTGCTCTGTTTTACATGATAGCAAGAAGGTCAGAATGGTTTTTCTGAGAAAATGGTCCCTGATCTTCATAAARAATGAAATTTGTCATATATGTGGAAAAATTAAGATGACTTGAAAATCATAGCTATGTTCCCTGTATGTCTTCCATGTTTCCATTGAGTTTCCCTGTTTTAGTATTTCTGAGAGAAGTCACTGTAAGGGAACTTCTGTTCAGGTGATAAGCTTCTTATTTTCAGATCCTTGATAGATTTCTTGGCGATGATGAACTCTATTTGATACATTCTGTTAAGGAAACTGATATGATTTTAATTTGCAGCTACAACCCACTGAGAGGCTGTTGTCTCTTTTTTTAGTGACATGTGACTCCCTTATCATGAGTTGTCAAAAGAGGGGAGAAAGACAGTTAGAATAACTGCTGAATAAATGAAAGGTGTGCGTCTCATTCCTGTGTGCCTCTGGTCACAGGAAAAGTGCCCTTTAATCGTGTGGGRAATCTCACAGCAGATATTTCATAAATGAAGCAGGCTAATCAACAAATAAATGACCAATGAAAGTACTTTCTTCTTTGCTTTTTAGGCTGAAATTAAACATGGACTGTTTTTCTCCATTCACCTTTGAAAGTGTAAAGCTAACCTTGGACTGTAGGCTAATGGAGTGATAGGARCTGATAGGGTAGTAGATAGTTACTTGACAAATGTGTTATCCTTGTCTCTTTTATCAGACAATATGAACAATATTAAATTCTGGTGATATTAAACTCCAGAGCTGGTTTGAAGCTAGATCAATAATGAACCAGATCTTTTTCCTGTGGGGCTCCCTTAGAGACTGATTGCTAGTAGAACAGSCTGTATTTTTCTGTTGCTGTGTTAGTACCTTTTTATTCCATAACAGCATTGCTCATTAATGTAACAATTAATTTTAATGAAATAATCTGTAATTATTTCAGCCCATAGATAACTATGATTAATGCCTTTCTGGSTGGTTTGTTTTTTAGAAAGGGGGAAGAAGAGGCTGAAGAGCCTTACTCAAACTGAATCTGATATCTATATTTTTTTTAAGTTGCACCCTAGTGATTTGAGTAGGATGGTAAACATGAATGTGAAATTTGGTAAAAAAGCATGTTGTCACCTGCTTCATTGCACTCAGGAAACTTCTGCTGTGTTGTGTTTTGTTGGRGTGAACCTGTCAGTCTTTGTTTTCCTGTCTGTGTCTTTGTTTCACAGATGATGTCAGATTAGCTTTGGAAATGTCACTCATGGGTTGTTGGTGTCATAAAGCCAGGAGGGAACATGACATTTTGGCACAATTAGGATTACTTTGAATGTTGACTTGTGAAAGCTACAGATTCTGCAAAGTAAACAAAAATCTGAAAGTCATGTAGGATTTTTAGAAAGATACCTGGTTCTTCTTCTATTCAGTATTTCTTTGTACAAGTTATGCTCACAATGTTACAATGCCAATGACATAAAGGTAAGGTGGAAGTCATGTCTGTCCCAGTTTTTTCTCACTTGTTCTTACTGTCAGTAAGTAGATGAAGGAAATTAATCGCAGCTCTTCCCTGTTAGAGTAGTTCTCATTCTCCTTCCCATTTTCTTTCTGCCCAATTGCCCAATTTGTTTCTGGAAACTACTTTTTCATCCTCAGTTGCRTGTTACCCTGCCACTGTTTGGCACCGTGTCGAGGCTCTTCCTGTTAGGATTTAATTTCCATTTTAAGGCATCACTACAGGAGGGTTTGCTGTGGGAGGAGGGCTTGCTGTGATTTCCATGYGAGCCTGCTCATTGATTTGGTCAAGGAAATGTGCCGACGAATGGCACAGTGTGTTGTTCCTTTCAGGAAGCACTGCAGAGCAAGAACTGTATGTGCAGTGTTCAGAACTGCTTCTGGAGGCTAGAGGAAAAAGCAGTGCATGTTGTTTTTCCTTTCCAATCTCCAGAGTGTTTCTGTATTTTAACAGGTGGGTCTGTAGTTCTGTCCTTCAATAGAATGYTTCATCTGGGGCCTAGGAGGAGCAGGACTGCATGGCTACTTTACACATYTGCTGCTGTTTCCCCAGGGATGCTGAGGAAGTCCTATTGTTGTAAACAATAGTGGAGTACAGCCTGTGTAAGTTTGTTCTAGCAAGGAACTGGGTGGAACTTTGCCACTGCTGTACAAGCCTTGCTGGGCACAACTTCAAGGCTGGAATCCTTATGATTRCCAGTTGGGGTGGGGTGGGGGAAGTGATTTGGGGTTAATAGATAAGGAAAGGTGAAAAGGACAAGAAAAAGAAGTTTTAATGATAACAACTTTCTGATTGTATCGTGGTTTTAGTCTCAACAAATTACTATTGTAATATTATATTTCCAACCTAGTTGTTACAACTTGACTGCCATCTGTACTGGACTTCTGTGATTTCCTTCATMGTATCCCTGTAACACCTGTGATGTGAAGGGCAGTCACGGTTCATTCACTGGTGTACAGGTACAGGGATAATTGCTTATTTACAATCCTTGCTGTGAATCTGTGTTGGCTATAATTAGCCTTGTACTGATTAATAGGCAGGTTATTTGCTTCAGAGAATCAAACACAACCACATTTCTCCTAACACTGGGTTGCCAGTCATTATCTATTTCTAGTTATTTCAGGCCTTTTTAATGTTTTATCCTAGCAATACATTCATTCCTTTTTTTTGTCCAGTGTTCCTTTGTTCAAAATCACTGTAAGAAAAAGTTGGCCTCATCTATCACTTCCTGCACAGCACAAATTCACTTCTATTTCCTATTTATGGYTCTGGTCTTTGTTTGCCTACATGGAGAAATGCCAGTGTTCCCCTTTTTTGTTGCAAACAGGCATGTTTTAAGAGGAAAGAGCWGTACTAATATAATGGGAGGAAAGGGCAGGGGGAAATAGGTGAGAAAAGGTGATGTTAATTATCTTATGAATCAATGAGTTACAAAGATGAGGAGTTTATTATTAATCTATCTGGACAACTAATCTGTAAGTGGGGAGTACCACCAACTTCTGTAATACATGAAGAGAATGTGGTGTTCTTAGAACAAACATAGCAGCCAATCAGTATCAAAAGCCAATGTACCAAGTTTCAGAATTTTTAAATGCATTTCACTGTTTCAGTATTCCTTAGAAAACAGGAAAGCATAAACTGCTCTTATATTAAGTTTTGGRGGCTTTAGGTCACTTTGTGGCTTCTAGATTTTCATATGGTTAAATCATAAATTATCAGTGAGAAGGCCCCTGCACAAAACATTGCTTTCACAGATATATCTAAAGAATAGGTTATATTTCACCTTCATCTTCTTATAGACTTTTTTCCCCCTTCTTACTCTTTATAGTACAGAGCATATCACATTTTATARGAACTTTTATCTGTCTCAGGACACTGTTTCTTACTGGCTTTGCAGCCTTGAAAGATCAAACTGAGAGGAAGATGGAAGGCAGTATGTAACATTTAAAAAATATAGTGGACARCATGGCAGTAGTCTAAATGCTATTGATTTGTCCTCTCAATAGATTTAATGAAATGCCAGAAGAAACACAGTGACATTGCAGATAGTTCTTCCAGTTGCTTTTGCTTGGGAAGAAGAAAAAGTTAAAGCCTGTTTGAGAAGTTGAAAAGGGTCTTTTGTCTGGAAATGGAAAATAAGGATCCTTGTTGTGATACTGAATAGTGATCTCTGAGGGAGTTGTAAAGAGGCTAGAAAAGGCAGTCAAGGCAGCTTAAATTACATGAAAGACAGTTGGAAGAAATAAATTGAAAAATGGTAATATTTGGGGTGTATGGAAAGGCTTTGCTGCAGTGCTCTGAATGAAGTGAGTGGAACATTATTGCCACTTTCAAGACAAAAGAAGGTGCTGTAATGACCAAGACATGAGCTGTGGACTGGATCAAGTGCAGGGGGAAGGTGGGTGTGAGGGACAGACACACACCTTCAGCATGACTCCAGGAGAAACTGGAGAGGTCTAGAACAGATGTGATGCTGGGCTGTAGAGGGACAGTGATGATGGCCCACAGTAACCATGAAAGAGACACTTCCGTGGTTTTGAGGAAGATCTTTTAAGAGCTCTCTTTGTTACCAATAGGCAGCTGGGATTTCACAGGAAGATATTGTGCAGCTTCGAATTTGGACAGACAAATTTCTCATTTAATCATTTGCTATGCTCTGCTTAGAGTTGTTTTCCACAAAAATGTCATGAGCAGGACTAAGACTGAACGTTTTAACCAAGTTTCTTGTATGAAATACATTGCTCTGAAAATACCATTAAACCAAAGATGTCTCAGCCCAAAGTAAGGYAATCTGCAACTGGGGGCACAAGGGTATTGTGCCTGGTATCTCTTTGGCAAGAGAATAACTGTTCTAAAATCAGATAAGAAACAACACCTCTTAAATTTTTGCTGAAGCATTTTGAAACTGGGTATTTACAAACCATTTGTATGTATCAGATTTCAATAATATTCGTATTCCACATTTAGTGGAGTTGTAGTACGGAGGTATCCTTGGRTGAAATACTTGGCTATATGCTGAGCAGGAAAGAAGCATTTACTCTAAAATATACTCTGTGTTTCTAAACAATCCCTTTTGAAGAAGAATAAAAGTGTGCCAAATCAGCAAACAACACTCAGAAGTAGAAAATTATGTTTATTGTTCTCAGCTCTCAATGTAATTTTTGAGTACCTAAGAACAAGTTGTTGATTGAAATGGATTTTTGCTTTTCAGGTATGTAATTATGGGGATGCCCTTGAATCATTTTTTTGCCAGCTAAAAACCCCTCTAACCTTTTAAATAATATTTTTTCAGCTGTTTGGTAGAAAACAGAAAATAGTAAGTTCAAATTTGAATCTCAGTACAGTTCATTCTGTAAAGCAAATTATTCAAATAATTTTTGTAACATCTAAATCTCGTTYTTCTTTCAGATGAATGTGTGCAGATTACGCCTTACAGTACCACCTGATGAAGTGTCACAGCCTGAAGTGGGACCAAAGGAAATTGAGAGAAAGAAAAGTGTAAGTTTTAAGAATCAAAGTTAAATTCACTGTAAATTAGAAGTAAATATTACCCTCCACAGATGCTGATATTTGTTGTTTTGGCAGCCAAAAGCTCAGTCATCTTTGAAGAKTTAAGAACACGTGGAAAGTTATCAAGTTGGGTGTGAGCTTTGAGCCTGAGCCTTGGAGTTAGGGATGGCAAAACTGGATGTGAAATAGGACAGTGGTAGAGGAACAACAGAGATTGTGGGTGATTTGTGACTGAGGTACCTTTAAAATGTGRTTATTTCATATATCAAAGAGCGGGAAACTGTTCTCAGGAACAAGGTCCTGTGTTAAACAGGATCTTGATCAGCATCCTCTTGATCCTAAAAGAGGCTTTTATATTACATGTAGGCTTAACAGTGTGCAAGATTTGAGCATTCATATATGGGGAGTTGGTGTGCTGGGCACCTTGATGTTTTGTGTTTGTCAGCTAACTTTGGTATACAGTGATGTACAAATACGAAATAGAAAGGAATCAGGATTGTTCTGAAGTGAAAGTGATTTGAAGATCCTGCTTCGAAGGGCTCAGGAGGGCATTTTTTTTCAGCAGTGAGCAGTGTGCACACAGAAAAGGTTTTACAATCTKCTTTGGTGCAGAACTTTAAGAGCTGTTTCATAGCAAGAGGTCATGTTTAATTAGTCTTAAGGATGAAGGCTAAAAAGGGAAGCTGGACAGCCTTCACAACTTCACCACATTTATACTTTGTCTCGGTTGATTTTGGTTTATCAATGGTGAAGTTTGCCAGACTCAATGCCTGAATAGCAGTAAGACAATGGAAAGCAAAACAATAGAATTTACTAGAAATAATTTCTTAGTGATACTTACAAACAAAAATAACTTTAAAATTACTGAGAAGAACATTTTAAGCAATAAAAATAAATGCAAAGTAAAATGCTCAAGATAAGGATTCTTTATCAGTTATTTCTTGTGCTGGAATCTTGTATACACTCMGGTTTCCACGCACTGGTCTGGCAGMGTAATTGGTGCTTCAGAATTTAGGAATGTGACTTACAGAATAGATAAAATAGGCCTTAATGCAAACTGAATTTGGGCCACCATTCAATAGTAATRATACATTTTGCACAGAGGTGTTTAGTTGTAGCTCATAGAGTAGCTCCTCTGTCAGTGTCTTGTCAGCTTGTATCTGATTGCAGCAACCCTCAGACTGGACTCATTTTATGGGCYATTGCCCTAAGAGGAGTCTAAGTTTGTTTTTGAGGAGGATAGATATTTACTCATGGCTTACTCACTTTATGGTGCTGAGTAATGTGATAATAAGAAAGAAATGTCAATGATTAGGGTTGGACAATTTGTAGTGACTTTCTTACGTGACCATTTTTTTTTCTCTGTGGGACCTTGTATTYAGTGAGAGCTGTTATTTCCCCCATAATACAAGTAAAGGCAAGTGGGCTTCTAATCAGAGAATGTTAAGGAGAGGATATGAAGAAATAAATGCATTGCTTTGCTTAATGTGGAAAGCAGCGAAGTTCAAGGGTCCTTACTGGTTGAGACTTGAAAAACCATATGCAATTTAAATACTGTATGTTCTGGATAATTTTCTACAGTTCAGTATTTTTAGGCCATTCAAATACTTAGAAGGTCAGGCTTCAGAGCTGGAGTGGATCTGCCAGTCAATTCCATAGCAATTAAAAAAGGCAGAGGAATTGTGCTAACTGCTTGTGTTTTATAGTTTCTGTATAATTAAAAAATGCACCCCACAGATTGTATAGCCATAGTGTATGGAAGCAGCTACAAAAAAAATCACTGCTCATGAACTGTTTTTTCATCATATCTCTAAAGCCAGACAGCAGTCTATTACCTGTGGGTTTTTACTGTCTATGTAATCGATTGCTTTATGTATTCAAATTAGTTATACAGTAACTTACAGTGCACACATGCCTCRTGGCTAGTCATGCTGTGATGCTTTTACTGCACAGTTTAATTTWAAAAAATCTCCTAAAAGTGATCAGCTATCTCTGCTGATCACCAATATTCAGCTGACTTCATGTTAATGAAATTGCTTAAAGCACTTTGAGAGCAAGCTTTACAAATGTTAGATAATCCTCACACAGTCCTATGATAACTGTGCCCCCTTTTTGGAAATATGGATAATAGAAAGTAGGGAACTGTTCTGTTTTCTATCTTGCACTTTACAATTTAAGGTCAAAAAATCCAGCTTCGGCAAGAATCAAATTTAACATCAGATCCCTTGTTGGAATCTAGAGTTCTGTGTTGACTTWAATTGCTGACTGCCAAGAAAATGGGAACATGAAAAATGCTTTCAGTATTTAAAGTACATTAGTGTGATTTACAGAAATGAACTGCAGGGTAATCTGTGGGATTGTGCAGCTTTTGCTGGAGTGCTCCAGCAAGTCAGGCAGTCAGAGCCTGGTGCAGGTGCTCCCCTGTTTGGGCAGGACAAATCTCTGCCTCTGCTGCTGAGGGAGGAAAGCAGAGACYGTGCAGTGTTGGAGTGAATGCCAGAAAACTATAAATACACCATGGCGTGACATTTGGTTGTAAGCTTCTCTTTSAAATCTTTCATTAGAAGGAGGTGATTTTGAGCTGCCCTAATGTKACACGGTGACAGCTCACTGACCGTTTCTGCTTATCTCAGCCTCAGTATCATTAAGAGGTGCTTCAATTGCAGAATCAGCTRAGGAACTGCACAGCAGCTCTTGCTAGTGCTGATCCTCCCAATAACTTGCTCTGCTGCTTGATGTCAGATCAGAAGTGATTCTTTATCAGTTATGGTGGTAGCTCTTGGCTTAGCCTTTTTCATTGTAGTGGAAACTTGGCAGGAAACTTGTGCTGTATTTAATTCAATCTGTATCAGTGCAATAAGTTTGTAGGTTAACTTTTTTATTGCTATCCATCCATGAAATAAAAATGAACCAGTGTATGAGATTAAAATGAAGTGATGGATCTGGGTGCTTTTGTTGCAACAAAATTGCTGCAGGCAAYACTGTACCAGGGTGGCATCTCCCTGTGAAAGGCTGGCAGATGGTACAGAGTTAGAGACTGATCTCAAAAGCTGAGGGGGGAGTGAGCTTGTGTCAGGTTGGATTTTGATACTCATATTTAGGATATCATACCCTGAAAGAAGCACACAAGAACTTAACTCACAGGTAGAGGTTGGCTGGTTGGGTTGTTTGAATTGTTAGCACTTTAGGTAGAGAGAATTACAAACTGTTCCGCTTTTGTTCCATTATTTCTGTCCAAGATAGACAACGGGTGACAGTGGTGTGAGGCTGTTTATGTCACCATGAAGTACAAAGGAATAGTGTGCTTGGCAGATTGTATGCAAAATCTGCATGTCCTGAAGCCTGTCTGGTCTTGCATAATAAAGGRCTACCAGACAATTGTATTGTCCCTGTTTGGGATTGGGCTTATTTTTATCCATCACTCTCTTTTTTCACCATTATGGCTAAATTTGTAAGTGTCACTGGAAGCTGCAGCTAAGCTTTTGAAGGCAGAATATGGAGATATGTATACACATATATGTATATGTTTCTTTTTCATCTGGGTCTGTGGACAAGAGAATGAAAATGAGATAACACTCAAGAAATTTGTGTCACTTTACCGTCTTTGTAGCTTTCAGCTGAGCTTGAGCAGTGTTTATTCTTAAACTCAGCTAAGTACTTTGGCTGTATATATCTTCACACACTTTAATTTTCTTATTTTTTTTAAAGTATCACAACTAAGAAGTGAAATGCTTTTGACTTCCTAAGCAAGGACACAGAAACATAGAGCACATTTTTTTTTCCCCCAGCAAAAAAAGTAGGCTGTAAAGAAGCCAGAAGGGGCATCTGCTTCTATACGTCATGGTGAGAATCAAGCAGGAACTTGTGTCAGGCTCGGTTCAAGAATGTGAGTGCAGTAAACTTGGGGCTGTGGTGCACATGGAATCTAGGACGGTGCCTATTTTCTCTGCTGCTGCCAGCCCACTCCTGTCAGCAGAGCAGACCTCCTTGTGCCTGAACAAATGTGGTTCATCTGCTACAGGTGGTTGATGTTACTGCTTCTCAGCCTTTCCAGCACTGATTGCTTGATTTTTTTATGTGTACTAATTAAGCAACACCTTTGTTAAAACCAGTGCTTCATGAAATAGGGAGAGAATTCCATTGACTTCTGAGGTTACTGCTGTATTTGTTGTCTTTTAGTTTCCTGGTGTGTAACCACTGGCGTTCTGTGTACAGATTTCATGGGTTAGAAATGACTTTGTACAATGTCTGGCACTTCTCTTTTTTGAGATGGACACCTAAAGTCTACACCCAAGGAGCTTGAAAGTTGGAACGTGTTCAGCAACAGCATATTTTCCCTATTTTAATACTATTTTTATATTAAACATTCCTAAGTGTAACATGACTTTCATGGGCTGTAGAGGAATATGAAAAGATATAAAAACAGAGCTATCTTTTCTCAGAGCACAGTAACTTTTCTTGGAGAGCTCGGTGTTATAAATATGTCATTTTACTGAATAGAAAATATGTAACCTAAGTAATAGTGTGAGTGTTCTTGTTCYGTGTATAACTAGTGAACAGGTAAAAGATGACTGGATGTTTTAGAACCRTCTGGAATGTGGCTGTTAAGGAAAAGATAAAGCCTCGCTTAACTGATAAAATTCTTGTTAAAAGTTTTTTGATGATGTAGGCAAACAGAAGATCATGAGTCAGGGAAGTTTTAAGGCCATAGAGGTACTAAACACAGAATTATGTTAAGCATTATGTTGGATGTCCTTTTTTTCTCAAAAAAGATGTGTTTTCTGAGCTTTCGCTTTCAATTTTGGGGCAGAGAGAAGTATAAAATATGAGCTTATCTGACTTTCATTTWAAAAACTGATAGATTGGGAAACAAATCATCCCTCAGTGTTATTTACCTACATAATACAAATAAAACCATGGATCATATGAAACCTATGTTTTTTTATATAAGCTAATATATATATATATATATATGTATATATGTATATGTGTGTGTATATATATATATATATATAGGTTAAAAACTTTTATTTAGGGTTTGGTTTTATAATGTCTTTTCTTCACCTGTTTCATGCTACTTGTGCTGCCATCTTGGAGAAAGAGAYATAAACAGGATGCATGGTAATTATCGAGGCTTTTGCAACCTTGGGRTGTAGGCTTCTGATTTAAATATTTATTAGTTAAGTAAACACAGTCTGTCTTTCTTTGTACATTCTGTGTGATCACACCAAGTGACATTGTCTGTTGCTGCAACAGAGGCAAGGCATTCCTGGAGACTGATCCAGGACGTGTGTGCATCCACAGGATGAGTACTTGTTGTCACCTTGGACTATCACAGAACTGACTATAGGCACAAAGAAATACCAATGAATTGATTAAGCTAACTCTGGCTTTTCAGATCAGCAGCTCACATTAGCAGGGATTTTGCTTATATTTTGACCTCAAGCAGCAAGAGCTGATTAATCTCACAAACCCATCCATGTTAAAGCACTATTCTGTTTAGCTTTACAGTATTTACTTGCTCCTAAATACTTGCATGTGTTTGCTAATGCTGTTACCTTCACTGAGATGCCTCGCTGTAGATAAGAGTGGAGACCATTGAGGACCTGCTTGGAAAAATATCTCAGTTCTAACAGTGGGAGTGTATGGGACATAGAGGAAAATAATGGGAAGTATTTGACTTAAAAAAAACTGTTCTGTAGTTCTTGAGGATGTGGAAAATCTCGATTTGTAAAGAAGAAGCACGGGAGAGACAATGTATCAGAAGAAGAAGAGAGTACAAGGCAGAAAAGGAAAAGAACAGTGAAGGGAGAAAAGCAGACAAAAGTGGGTGGAAATAACTGAAGAGAGGAGACAAACTAGCAGAAGTATACTCAATGCATACTTATTTATGCAGTTCTGTGGAGATATTTGAGAACTGAGCTACTCAGCAAGGCCTCCTTTAGAGGCAAAGCTGTATTAAAAAAGGAGTGACCAAACAAAACAAACCAACCATCTGTCAACCCTGCATTCAGAGGAGTTTTCTGATTGTAAGTTTTCCCTCTCCTTAAGAGGAGACTGTATCAGGTGAGCTCTTTTTTGGCTGTTTTTACAGAATCCTTAAATTAGTGGTCCCTGATAGAAATGAAAGRGTTTCCAGATAGAAAAYGGTGAGTAGAAGRTAAGCATGGCTGGAATAGAACAGCAATGAAAGAGGTTRAAGAAATATGAGAAATTACTTGTGTAGCTGTTGGCTCACACATCTTTGAACAAGCAAGAACTGAAGTTTTTACAGGCACTTGTCTGGGGATTGTGATAGGATGGAAGAATAAGGAGAGGGTTAAAATAACATCCTGTATTTTAAGTAGCACATAGAATGGAACAGTCAACAGATGATGGAGATTCTTTTAATCTTCTGAARGAGAAGTAACAAAGACATCTTGGGAGGCTTGTGCAAATATAGATAACAAGCAAGTTTAGCATTGTTGCAAGAGACAAGTAACCAGTCTGCCTTTGTGCATACCTAATCCTGCATGTACTGCTCATTATGATGTAAATTTAAGTCTGTTCATCTCTGAAATATATAAGTGCCGTGGGTGATTCTCTGAAAACCCATTGGTCTGAATCTGTAGGTCTTTCTTAGAGGGGGAAAAGGTCCTTCAAAGTGTTCCTTAGGAATGTGTTCATAATATTCTAAAAATAAGGAACTTGGTCATAATTTTTATTCCAGAACTCTGGAAACAGCCCTTTAGACAATTCTGTTAATGTTTCAGAAGCACAAAGGACCTTGGTATTGCTGGTATTCAGCTGTTCACCTCATTAAAAATGAATGATCATGGGCAAAGGGTATGGATTTATGAATTCAGTGTCTGGTGCCTTGGTAACCTCTAAACAATCAAAGTGATTATTCATTCTGTTATCAGGAAGATGGAAATTTGTGTGTAATCCCTTTTTCCAGATGCAGGGGAGGAGCTGCAATGAACTATGAAAGRAACTGTACAACCCTGGAAGCAAACAAACACAAAAAGATTGAGTCATGTCCCCATCAAGTTTCTGTATTTCTCTGTTTCAGAGTATGAGGTGTGAGGCTTTTGTCTGTGCACATCCAAACAGCAAAACAAAACCCCCAATAATATATAATTATGAAATGTCTTATTACAGGGATATGAAGCTTTGGATATAAGGTTTTCAAAGTGCAAAATTATATCATGAATAGAWAGGGCTGTTTGCCCAATGCTTTTTTCAGTAAGTGGTTTTAAAGCTCTTATTTGAAGGCTTACAGCTTTGTTGTTCTTTGCCTGAAATGTTCTTTATGAGGTGTCTGCTCTGTGATCATTCCCCTCCCAGCCCTGCACACAMACCCAGAGCTTCAGCAACATGGTTAAACTATTAATGATGTGATAAAGAAGAGCATGCAGGATTTACAGTGTTGAGGAAAATCTGTCAGTGCCATGTGGGAAGGACACAATATAAAACAAATGTCTGTCTCTACCCATTTTTCTTAAGTATATTCTCCTGTTCATTTGCTCCCTACCCAAGTAAGTATTTATTCTTACATTGCCAGCATAGTTGTGTTGGTTTGGCTCCTAAAAACTGAGAATGCTGCTGCTTTAGACTGCAGATGGTGTCCTCTCTTCATCATGATAAGGACTGRAGATATCTAGGATGCAGCTGCAGAGGGATATAAGATGCTGAGTTTCACTGCCTTCWGCCTCTGGTGTCAAAGAGAGTATTTAGACAATGCTTAGAACAAAAAAAAAAAACAAACAAACCAAAACATATTCTAAAGTCAATGTAGTAAATRTGCTCAAATTTACCTGTATCCAGGTATATCAAGCATGAGAAAGTAAGTTCAGTAAAACCACCTGTATCTGATTTTTCTCTAGAACTGATCTTTCGCAAACAATGTACAATGAACCMAATGTTCCTAGTCTGCAAATATTTGAAGTTTGGTAAGAATATTTCCTCMTTTTATAAAAGCAGTCATAATGTGAATATCTTCATCTAAGATAGTTGTTTAAATTCCTTGTAATCAAGCAAAGAAATGCRTAGTCCCGAGGACTGACTCATTTCAGATGCTTGCTACAGGAGGATGTTTCCCTGGGCTGATTAGAAGGGAGGAGAGGTGAGTAGTCAGGTCAGGTGGTGGATCTGACCATGCAGATATTTATTTACATGCTGAGGGAAATGATTCCTGCTGTTTGCATGAATATTTTTCTTAGTAGATTCATGAGATCAACAAGAGGAGTYTGTTGCAAAGGGTGCCTTGAAGCAAGACATGCAATTATTACAAGTATGTTTCACAAATTTCTGCAGATCATTAAAATAAAACATCATCTCTTTGGAACAACCTCTATTTACATAGCAAGACCTGATTTAGAAGGTTTATCCTTCTACAGTAGTTAATAACACTGGAACACCCAGATAAATGCTATTTCATAGCTTTGTTTTAGCTATTAAGATGTCAGTTCTGCAACATCTGTAGAAGAAATGGAGATCTGAAATGAGTGTGATAACTTTGGGTGTTCTTACTTAGCTTTAAATGCAAACTGAAATTCTACTTCTTTTATCTTCAAGAGAAACATATTTTCTGAGCTCTCTTTTAAGGAACCTTGCCTAAAATGTTTCGATTTCAGATTTTTAAAACTTTTTATAATTTTTTAGTAAACTGATAAGTTTTTGCTTCCTGTAGCAGGGAGTTTGGGAAATGAGGGACAATTCTGTGGTTGCATGAATTTAGAGGGAAATAGAGACCTGACAGTTCTCTGTAGGAATGCAGAAAAGTAGCATATGGTGGTGAATAAAAATAAGCCAGGATAACCCATGACTTACATGACTCTACCTCTCCTTGTATAAATTCAACCTGTGTCTCTAGCWATGYCTACTTYACTTCTGTTGRAGGCAGTGGTAATTGGACATCTCTRTATTCWTTATCAATTATAAGCTGGTCATTGGTCTTTCCAAAACGCTGAAGGTTGACAGTTTGGCTCCAAAACATTTGAGAGTTAGTGTTCATATGTACCATTGTGCTTTCTCTATATTTGGTTGTCTGTCCTGGCCCTGAGTTACTGTATTTTAATTTATTTTTTTATTCTAGTATCCATTTTTTTTCTTTTTTTTATGTTTAGGGATTGTGCCATGTACCAAATGGGATGTCTCCAGGGAAGCTCTCTCATGGGATGGTGTATGGTGTTGTGCACCGAACTGACAACAACCATAAAAGAGAAATGGTGGTTTATGGCTGGTCAGCTGATCAGCTGAAAGAGGAGATGAATTACATTAAAGAAGTAAGTTACATTTTMACCTTCAAGATTTGTTAAATGCCCTTTCCATATATCCATGTAAAGCTGTGAGGATATAATGGGATTACTGATATCTACCCCAGCACCTGAGTTTGAATTGAGAACCTACTCTGAAGCTAGAGGCTGGCCTTGATAGTATTTGAGTTGGGAAGAAAGCATGCTATACCCCTGGGAACTGTGCTTGCTGATGGAAGAAATGATGTAAGCAGAYACCTGAAAGGATAAATGCTCTCTCCTCCCTTCCTCTGCTTCCCCAGTCCCCAAACCCGCAGCTTTGAAAAGTCTTCCAAATTAGGTGACATAGTAAAATCACTTGGGATATTTTGGGGCAGCCTTAAAATAGTCAGCCTAATAAGGATGTCTTTGTACTACTTTCTCTGTGCCTGTTCATTTATCATAGATGGTAGAAGATCTGAAAAACAAAAAGTGCATTTCTGATCCTGCTTGACATTTTTCTGTGCTTGAAACTCAGCATCTCTTTGCCCATCAGTCTTTGGCTCTCAGACTGGCAGTAACACCCTAATTACCTCAGGGTAAATAATCTGACCTTCTCTTTCCATCCACCTTCAGCACCCAGGAGGCTGTTGGTCAGTGTTTACCGTGCTACACAGATTCAAGTGCAAACTGAGTTGACAGGACAGGGAGGAACCCTGAGTCAAGTGAGCAGTGTATGGCACTCTAACCATGTGTGCTCCTAACACCTGCCTGTTCTGTGGCCATCAGCACTTGCTTCTCTCCCTTGCTGCTCCCAGTTTGTCAGCTCCCAGTGTTCACCACTCTCAAGCTGCTTAGTTTAGGGACTGGCAGGGTATGTCGCTCCTGCAGTGCTGGTGAGGCACACAAGCTGATGTCCCTGCTGTTTTCCTGCCTGGGTAGTTTCTCTGCCCTGCTGGGGTGGTGAATTGGCAAACACAGGGCCAGCTCCCCAGATTGCACTGTCTGTGGTACCTGGTGCAAATAGCTTGGGCTGGGGCCATCTCCCTGCCCTTTTCTGTCCCTTGTGGAGGGTCATATCAGATCAGGTGAACTGCATGTTGTGATTGTGCGTTCAGCGTACTGATGCTCTCAGGAAAAAGTTGGAAAGACATGGGAAGACACATGCTGGCTCTTGGTCTCCCATCTTGTGGAAGCTGTGTTCAGCTCTGCTGCTTTGTGAACTTTGGTCTGCCAGAGTAGTGTTGTCTTTAAAAGAAGACTCTTAAAGGAGAGGGGATAAAAGGGTTTTACCTCAGTATTTGGGATCCCAGGTGCACAATTTGATGGCAGAATGCACACCTGTGTACAGCACGGGTACAAGTTTTATCGATTTCAGGAATTAGCATATCTATCTAGGATTCCCCAATAAGAAACKTAACAARTGCAGTAATGTCCYSCTMTTCTAATGAATCCCCCCCAGATGAGGCCAGAGCCCAGTTTACACAAGATGTTCTGGACAGAAGGCTTCACCCAAGGCTGGAGTCTTGAGTTTAGGATAGCACAGAACACACTGACTCCTTCCTCAGGATGTTTGGTCTCTCTACCCAGCAGAACTCCTAAACTAAGATGGAATATCAAGTTACAGGAATTACAGGCATGTGGGCTAAGGGGTACAGGAGAATGCCTAGAGGGTACAGAAAGCATAAAAAGGAAAAGCAAAAATCATCAGGCATCATAGAGATTGATTAATAATGGAAATTATAGAAAGTTACAATGAAGATTGTGGAGAAAAAGATCATGTCCTACAGTATAAACAGCATAATCCAAAAGTTTGATAAATGCATTTGATTTTTCTGACACCAGGTGAGAGCAACTCTGGAAAAAGTAAGAAAGAAAATGTATGGTGAATATGATGAAATGAAACGAAAAATACAGCAGCTTACAAATGAGCTGAAAGTAAGTATCCATTCCTTTGTTGGGAAGGCATATGGGAATAATTGTCCCAGTGTTATCAGAAGCTTTCCTTTTAGTCTGGCAGAACAGAACTAATCTCCCAAAACACTCCAGTTCATTGTTTTGTGTGACATCTGTAGTTTCCTTTCTTTCTTTATTTTTCCATCCAGGAAGGTAAAGCAGGGCAGGGATGCTTTTGCATAGGAAATTAATAATTTGCTGGAAATTCTTGAAAATAAAAGAATGATCTTATTATCATTGCCTCTGTGTATTGGTAATTAGTGGAGATATATGTAACAGCTTCCAGGGGAATCKAATAGATAACATGCATGATTAGGGGAAACTGATAACTTGGTGTCATTTCAAGACTTTGCTTTGTTTTACTGACTCTACTGCTAAGTAAAAGAAGTAGCAATTTTTTATTATTAAAATCTAAAAAGTCACTTATCTTTTGGCTTTTAACTGCACTTTTAAATGGTCATTTGATGACCTTTCTTCTGATATGCTGCTTTAGCAATAAAAGCTGTTGCAGTYTGTAAAAATAGCCTTCATATTAAACTGCTGACTTCTCTGATCCAAAATATCTCCCTGAAACCTTGCTTTGATTTTATGTTCAGCATTGATTTTCACAACCCTGGTTCAGATGAAGCTTTGGCATTTAAAAGTATTCTGATTTCAAGTGATTGTGACCCTGACTTGTGCCCTTCTGCTGTCCTCATTTGGAGGCTGTCAGTTCCCTGCATGCTGTGTTGGGTGCAAAAATCAGAACTTGCTGCAAACTGGTACTTTTATTTTGTGCAACTGATCTCAAAAAAAAAAAAAAGAGAAAACAAAATCACCCTGACTTGAGGGGAAGAGAGAAAAAAACTCAATTTCTCCAATCTGTGTTAAATAGTCATAATGCAGCCAACAAGACTCACTCTGTGCCCCAGCGTGCATGTAGGTAAATGCTGATTCAGGTGCAGCTTTGTTGTCTTTGCTGCTGATCTTTATAGAATAGCAGTGATGATATCCTGCACTTCCAGATCTTCTGTCAGACCAGTAGAAATCTTGCATGAGTCAGAAATTCTTCCTTAATTAAGGGTTTCTGGCCAGCTCTGACAGAATATCTAGTTCTGCAGCAAATTAGCATCTTACGAAGCTTCCTGCTGACTTAATTGGCWCATTAGGAGACATCCTTCCCATTTTTTAATACTCCAGACTGCCTGAAAGGAAGCACAAATGTTGTTCTTCCTAATAACATGAGCTTTTTGTTTGGTTGATTATTTGGGGGTTGATTTTGATTTTACATGACTATTGTCTTTCGTGCTATTGGTAGATCCTGTTAAAAATTCTTTCTATATCTTTTGCTTCAGCTTTCAATCATTGTGCTTTTTCCTATCAATTTCCAAGACAACTTTTTGTTCATAAAGTTTGTTTGAAATTTGCTCTTCCGATATCCTGCCCTTGGCTTCTCCACACAAGTTCTTACCTTGTAACTTTCTTAATCCATCCAAAGCACTTCTGCTTTTGTTTGTTTGACATGAGCACATATTTATATAAGCTTAACAGAAACTACTTGGCCTCTAATCCCYGTGCTGACCTAATCTGTGTATGGCCTGGTTACTTGTTGTCCCCCTACATCAGTCCCTAGTGTTGTCATGTTTTTATCACAGAACAAATCTGGTCCATCTAAGAATGTGAGCTAGGCTGGCCTCCATTAGTGACGCTCTTTTCCTCTTTATTRTTGGGTCATTCATAATTATTTACACTGTGTTTGGGTTTTGGTCTCTTCTTGAATGGTAATTTTGTACTTTTTCCTGCCTCTTCAGTTTTTTAGCATGTGTGTGTACATAACAGAAGATGACTAATTTTCACACAACAAAGCTCTCTGGCTTCTCCTCCCTGCTTTGTACTGTTTCATCCTCACGTCTTCTTGATGTTGCTTCTTTATGTACCTGATTAGTCAGTTCCTTCTTAATTAAGACTYCTCTACAATTCACTGTTCTAGATTTCCTTATTTCTTGCATTCTTCTGCTTTTTACTCTGAATTGTTACAATGTGCCCACTCTATAATCTTTCTGAATGGACAGCTGCCTATTTTCCTCTTTCAAAAAGAACAGCTGATACAGTGATTGCAGACTAACAATAAACTTAGATACTCATGCCTTATTTCTGTTAGCTTATTTYGATTTTAAGTTTTGTTTGCTTGTTTGTGAGGTGCAAGAACATACTTTGAGGCTTGTATATTTTAAGCATCCTACTACTGTGAAAATGACCTTGGGGTCTTTCTCTTCTGTAGCTCTCTTGGAAAGACTAGGTGAAAACTTGATCATTATTCTATATAAAACCTTTTTTTTTTTCCTTGCTCAGGTGACAAATGCTCATCAGGAATCCTTAGAGAATCATGTGCGAGTGCAGGCTGCAGCCTTAGATAGCTTTAGCGAAATGAACAGCTCCTTGACATCCGCATCAATAGACTTGCAGGTACATCTTCATAGCTGCTTCACAGCTGACAGCTGCCTTTTCTAACACAAATTTCAAAGCACACAGAAAACGTAGGTGACAGATACAGATTCTAACACTAAACAACACCATAATGTACTGTCTTTGATATCTAAAGCACCTAAATTAGGAAACAGAGAAAAAGGTTCCAAAACCCATTTTTTTGAAAAAACAAACATTTTAAAATAGTGTACAATGAAGAGATACTGATGCGCAGCAGACTAATGCCACAAGTCGTGTCTCTGTGAAGGATCTAARGTGAAAATGTGATTTGGTCTGCATAATGCAAAATGGTGCATCTCCTGAATTAGTTGTGCCTTCAGTGTTAACAGAAATGGAAGTGGCATGTTTGGATGCCAAAAACTTGTGAGATTTTCCATACCTGTGAAATGTCGGGAGAGGGATGCGGTGGGAATGATTTTTTTTTTTTTTTTTTTCTTGTGAGATTTTCCATACCTGTGAAATGTCGGGAGAGGGATGCGGTGGGAATGATTTTTTTTTTTTTTTTTTTAAGACTTCCAAATTCCCTTGTACCCGAGCTGAACAACGTAACGTCCCTACTATCTCATATGTCACAGTTGTTTTCAGTCCACTGCACTTTTTATGTATGGTATGGCCCTTGGAGAGATGGGAAGATTACTCATACTGAAATGTATCCATGTTTCTTTTTTTTTTTTTAAATGGTGTTCCAGGACTTGATTTCACTGAGTACACTCCTCTTGGAAATACCTTCTAGCAACAACAAAAGCCATAATTTTAAATATTAAAGCTTGCAAAACTGTTCACACTGCATTAATACAACAGGAAGCTCTTTAAATGTGCTGTCTGTTTCGTAATCTCTTGTCAATATTAATTCATCAAATTATTTCTCATTTTTAATATGTGGTTTGCCTCTTTCTTATAGAAAACCCTAGTGGATGTTACATTGGAGAACACTGATATAAGAGAACAAATAAGGAATTTAAAACATACACATGAGCAATCTATGGAAAAGCTGAGAGAGAAGCAAAAGCAACTGGAAACAGCACAAATTGAAAATCAGCTACTGAAGTTAAAGGTGTGGTATATAAACTCCTCTAAAATACTGCACACTGAGGGCATTAGGTGGTTGTCAAATTAATTCCTTGGCCTTATTTGTAAAGGGTTCTTCACTGGTTGTGCCCTTGAGCTCACACATTGCTGTGAATTGATACTGGTTTAATGACAAAGAATCTCAGCTGGTGACAGGCAGTCTTCCCATAACATGGGATGTAACATAAGAGTTGGGGCTGTTGACAGGTGAAAATTGAAACCATTGAATGGTTATTAGCTTCATTCCTTTTAAGTGAAGGAATATGACAACTCTACACATTGCTACATGAATTTCTTGGTGTTGAGTTTCTTTGGCATTGCACCATTTTTAATAGGTAATGTGTTAAATCTTATGAGCATTTGGTCAGCAGTTATGAGCTGTGACAGCGAGGATCTTCAAAAGAGAATTAAGCAATTTCTTCCTGAGAAATGCAAGGGAATAAAACACAAACAGCAAGGTTTTGTATGACCGAAAGCTTGATCATGTTCTCCATTATCTGCCAAATGTATTCCTTTAATCTCAAAAAAAAACAAGCCCACAAAAAACCCAAACAAAACAACTAAAACAACCTCCCTCCTCTGGAAACCTTTGTCTCTCTAAAAATTGCTCAAAGTAGACTGATTTGGATATAGTACTGTATCAAAATTTGTCAAATTTTGAAAAAATTGTGATATGCTGTGTATTTTATAGTTGTGATAAGTGTAGTGATCAGCAGGGAACACTTTACTCCTCTTCTTCCTGTCACCTTTGTAGCACTCACAGCATTTCACTGGAACAGCTGATTGATAGCAACTCTGGGAAGAGAACTAAGTCCTGGACTAGTTATTTTACTTCACTTTTATTGTGCTTTCCATAGGAGATGGATTAAGCTGTGAATATCCTATCTGGTGTTTAATTRCTGAGGGTGTGGTTCAGTCAGTGTTTTCAGCCAACAGAAGGAGGAAATCCTCTCCCTGAATTACCATTCTGCCCTCTACCCTGTAGCTCTAGCAAAGTTTCTGGTTCTGTTGTTAAAAATTAACCCTTCCACACAGCTGAGAATTTTAATTTTAAGTTTGATTGCTTTGCTGCATGATTACCGCAGTCCTTGTGCCTACAGAAAGAGCAGAATGTGAAAAACCAAGAGAGAGC